TTTTATGTCACAAACGCGTTGAATCTTATACAAGAACAAATGTTAATGTACACTAAGTATTTGAAAAACAAGTCAAGTGAAAAGCGATAAGTGAATTTTAATATATTGTTAATTACGTATTAAAGTGAGGCTTAAAAAATTCATAAATATTACAATGTGTTGCAAGATAAATTCCAAATACTTAGTATGCATATTTGAACGATAGTAGTATTACACATATTTGCAGATATGCAGTCATATATATAATAATATTACACATATGTGTGCTAGATACTGATCAAACGGAATAGAATTTATAATGAAAGATTCTCCTTTATAATGAAAGATGACTGTACTGCAGATCCTTATGCAAATTTAGAATTAATTTAAATATATGTCTCTCGATGAAGGCTGCATTGCATAAGATATGCTGAAACCATAATAAAAAAAAACTTCCACAGTTTTTATCTCAAAGTATTTATTTTACTATGAATACAGAAAATTTAATTTTTCTACATAATTAATTTATTTGAGAAGGATGTAAGTTCGGTAAACATGCTTACTGTCATCGCAGAAAATTCTTGCCAATATATTGTCATTAATTGTCTGATTAAGATAATATTAAAATTAGTAAACTTTTACTCCGTATGTGGCAACAAAACAGTAGCCAGATATAAGTACATTTTGTATAAATAATATGCGATGAATAGAAAAATTGTTCACATATTTCATTTAAAATAATTTGTCTTCAATCGACAAACAACAAACAATAAGTTTTTAATTTATTGTTTGATGTGTTATGTCTATATTATAAATTCGCTAAGAACAAACTTCGCATAACATAACGATAATTATTGTAAATATGCTGACTGTAAAATAACTTTATGCACTACTGTAAATTGTACATATATTTCATGCTCTATAATAAGTTATTGTATAATTCTTTGTTATAAAAATAAATCACATTTTATTACTTATTGCGTCTTACTACAACATAATTATAAGTAAACTGATTTATTGATTTATTAACAGTTTCTGATAACAAATAATAGTTTATTATACAGTCTTAATTAACTTTTTCTCGGCGTTTCCCCGTTCAGAATAAACATTTGTCTTGAAAATCATATCTTATAATTAGTAGTGCGAATAATTGGGGCATTCATGGTGGATTAAAACGAAAAAGTCAAAATAATTCTCAATCAATATGCTTATCGTTATCGCCCAAACCAGAATAATATTTTTATGTTCAATTCATCATAGTTTTTTTTCTTTTATTATAAAATGATTGAAGAAAAAAGAAATTCTGGAATTTACTTGCTTAGTGTATTTTGACTAAGTTCATTTTCCCCCACTTTGGAAACGTATACCCGTGGCTTTGTCCAAACCTCTGCTCATGGACAATTGAGCTTACCCCCGAAAAGTCTTGTTGGATAGGCCTGGTTTAGGAATATGGCCTAAGGCGATTTTCCTCGACTGTGGGAGTTTTATCTACCTACGATTGTCGCTTTCGCGAATGGACGTTTAGAAACAGCACTGCCGCGTCTTCAAATTTCAATGCATTGAATATATTCAGTAACATCATTAGTAACTCTAGGAATTCATTTAAATCATCTTCACGCTTGCTCCTCCATCCCTTCGCATTTTATACGCTGTTAATAATTCCATCGCAGATGTTGGATTCCAAGTTAATCAGATGATCTATGATAATTACGAAATCCACTTTGTATCGGACTTAATATGTGTTAAATTTAAGATACCAGCATAATCTAGTGTTGATAATTTTTTATATTTTGCACAAGATGCATGTTAGTGCTATAGACTGATAGCTGTCAGGCTTGTTTTCATTCTTATTACATATGTTTCAGAATAGGGATTATTACTACGTTTCTCCATTTGTCAGGGAAAACATTATCCTTTTAAATAAATTAAAAAGTTTTAAAAGCACACTTTTATCCGATTCAAGTAATTATTGAAAAAATTGTAAGTTTCAGTGTTCTATGTTAATTGCTCAAAAAAAATTAAAATATTTTTATTCTAATAAATTAAATCAATAATAAATATATTTTTTTGGATTCCTTTTTTGGATTCCTAGGGTTAAATTTAATTGTTACAAATAAATTATATACGTAATCAACATTAAATAAGTTATTAGTGAATTATTATACATGTATGAGAGTTATTAATAAAATATTACAATATCGCATAATTATAATAAAAATTATTTTAAACATCTTCAAAGCAGCTACGGGAATGGTTTTCTTTTAAAGACTTCCTGTCAGTTGTTTTATTGTAATGAACACTGCACAATTTTAGCATTAATAAGTATTATATGAAATATACATTAAATACTGATATTAATATTATCAAGTTGTTGAGATGTACTAATATGGAATTCATTGAAGAGTAAATAGGAATGCTTTTAATTTATTTTTACGTTTTGTATATAATAAAATTAATACTTTACATTCATAAAGTGTTTTTGAAAAATGAGTAAATTCATAATTTATTTTACTTGTTTAGTGAAACAAGTGGAACTGAAGCTGTTGAGTTCCCTATAAATGTTACATAATAAATATAAATTATTTGATACTTTATATCAAATATTATTATTAAATATATACTACCACATTGTAAATTGATATTAAAATTGAATATGCATTCTAGTTATCGTACGAATATTTATACATATGCAAGGCCAGATATTTATCAAGTGGTAGTATAACAATTAATAAACAATTTAAGATGGAATCTTTTTCATATTAATGGGAGAGTCATCATCCTTGTAGTTCTTTAATTCATCTAAAAGTTTCATTAACAAAGGATTTCCTCCTAAACGTTGCACCTCAGCTTTTGCTTTCCTATCCAATTCTTGAAGTACAGTTCTTGTATAAGTAAAAGATCCAAATTTGTCTAGTAAGTTGACGCAATATTGTTTCACTTCAACATCCTTAGACCGCTGTCGTAGGATGTCTTGATGACCGTTTATTAAGGAATAACGTTTTATTTTATCAAGTATATACTTTGGAGTATTATGCGAACCTAAGGAAAGGATACTCATCAGCTGCCTATCTTCTGGATGACTGTTAATGGCATGTATGATGGGAAAACTGAATTTTCCTTCAGACAGGTCCTCACAGAAACTCTTATTTTCAGCATACTGTAAAATTAAAATAGTATATTAAAAGATTGATGTGCGCATGGTATTATACTTACTTCTCGACTAAGTAAATTGCAATAATCATCACGAATTTGAAAATAAAGTCCTAAAATTCCTGCTAAAGGGGTAAAATCTTCTTTGCAATCTGAAAACAACTGCATTAAGCGGACAGCTAAATTGAAAAGTCCACCAGTTTCTGCAATATATTCATCGGCTGTAAAGTCTGGTCTATTTGCAAGACATTTAATATCGTTTCACAATAATATTTCAGACTTACTTCGAATAGTCATTTGTTTATAAGCAGTTTCAGAAGGACAAATATAATTATCTCTCCAATAAATTTCCATACCTTGACCTCTATGAAGTTCCAGTAATTGTTCTAAATATACTTGTGTACCCTAATAATAAGAGAAATAATAATAAATATAAGCATGCACAAACTTTCCACAGGACAAGAAATTTCATTCTTGTTTTTTTTTACCTCTGGATGATTTAAAGCTACAACTCTATCTAGGGCAATGACAATTGCATAATTTGCAGCATTTATTGTACTAGCTATTCCATAAATATGATGAGCTACAGGTATACCTCTTCTCAAGACAGAATTGTCTTGAATATCATCGAGTCTGTAAAAGACATGTATCCATTAATTAAATAGTAATTAGCTATAAATAAATAAAATTATTTGAACGCACAAAAGGCTAGAGGTATGAAGTATCTGAATTATTTCTCCAATGGCTTGTAGTTTGTCGTCAGGTATTTTTAACCAGTTGTTGAAAGCATGTGCTAACTTTGATCTGACTTGTTTACCAGGCACTTGTAAAATGTAAGTAAACGGTTCCAATAATATCTACAAAGTAGATAATTCCATTAAATAAACATTATTTTATTTCAATTAATAAACAATAAGAACAGATTTCTATGTAATAGTACTATATATATATTTTACATTGTCTTTTATATTTGTATCTCGTTTACATATCTACTATTAAATGTTTAATTTGTTGTAAAAAAAAATAAATTAAACTAGATTCGTAAATTATATTTCTCTATGTCTAAAATGATTAACATTAAGAGAACCAAATGTTTACTATTGCACATTTTGGTATTATACAAACGGAACATTAATATTGAATATATAATATTAGCGATCGAATAATATATTTATGTTAGAGGTAAAACATTTTACCAATATAAAACAGAAACGATTAATATATATTAATAATTACTAAATTATTTATGTTCATTTCATAATTCACAATTAATATTGTACAAAATAATTTTATCAAATAACCTAAGCTCTGTCCACATGAAGATAAAATAAAGTGAATTGAAGAGAATTTCTAAAAAAAGGTTGTAAGCACCAAACATCAGATTTTGTAGGAAGAGGAATACCATCATGTAACATTAGGTTGAATGTTATGTTATAATTATGTTATTTTGCAATATTATTAGCATTATGGATGACTGCTGCTATTGACGGTTACTTACAAAAGGAAAATTTTACTTAAATTGTATACTACAGGATAATAGTAAAAAAATATTTTTCAGTTTTGAGACTTACAGTGTTTTCTACAAGAACTCTTCAATTGTAATTAAAAGTTGTTTTAAAAGTATAACCCACAAAATAGAATGTAATCTGGAAACATTTGGTGTGTATTTTTCACTGTTTCCTTGTAATATAATTTTATTGTTAAATTGTTATTTATATACACTCCTATTTGAAAAGTCAGTAAAAAAGAAGCAACTCTAGTCTACTTTGTATGTTTAATCGTGTTGTCATTTTGACAGATCCCTTAGTAGCAGTTTATAACTATTATTCACCGGTAAAACTAACCTCATCTTCCTCCTTATCACCGGTACTTGAGTATGGAACAATTTTGTTTTGCTCCATCGTGTGCTATAACCCGAACGATACTACCGAGCGTACAACCACGATGCCTTATAAAATACGACCAATGATTGTAAAAACTTTGATCGACTTATAGTATCACTTGTGTACGTATGATATTTGTCGTCTGCTGTACTGTCACGTTGTGCTGAGTTGCGCGCTTAAAAAACATTTAACCATATGTTATTTACGACACACATCAAACAGTAGAGCCAAACCAATCACCGCGCGCTTTACGAAAATCATTATTCACCACAATTTTGTTAAATGTTTATTCACTCGTGAATTATTCTTGAACAGTATACATTTTTCCATTGATCGTTTATATAATCGTTTATTTTAACTTAAAACAAAGCTGATATTTTACATCACTTGACAATAACTATTCTTCAATTGAAAATATAGCTCTGAATTTATTGTATTTAACGATGTATGCAATTAATATTGTATTCATTAACAGTTTGCGCTTAAATATTAGAGATTGCAATGAACACTTTAGAATCCTTGATTGAGACTTTCCAAACAAATAGTTAATACAAATGTTAATAAATATATTAACATACGATTGCACAAAATATTATGAATTTTACTAAAAAATAATAAATATTTTTAATGAAAAATATTGTCCAGTGTGAAAGGTTAAAAACGTTTTTCTTTGAAACGAAGTTTTCACAATCGGTACCAGAAATATCTCAAAGACTACTCGATTGATTTGAATAAAATTTTGCAGTAATATTCTTAAAACATTTATTCAATAAGCAACGAAAGCAATTTTTTATTTGTAAATTTAGATTGCACAAATTAACATCGTGTATGAACGGTACAGCATAAACACAATTATAATTTATGGCATAAATCAGAAACTCGCGTAAAAAGGCTGTCGTGTAAATGGAGGATCACATGTGTATTATACGCATGCTGCATTGTGCAATAAGTATCGCTTACTCTCCATGTAACATTAGTGCCAATAGCAGTAATGGTAAAATTATATAAAAATTTATAATAGCTTAACATTATAATGTTTTTTCTGTCAAAAAACTGTTACACTGATTTTTTATTTATTTTTACTGTAATACATGAACGAAAATGTACCAATAGAAATTTTTATACGCGTAATAAAAAATCATGACACTAAGGGTTAAACCGGGGTTGATAAAAGATGGATACTTCGGAAAGTAAAAGAAAACTTAATTAAACGCTTAAACTGCCGTTCTTGATATTGAAAAATCTATAAATGTTGAACATGTTAAGAAGTTTTGAAAGAAAATTTTTATAGTCTTTTAACCTGATAAAGACTATGGGAAAGTTAGAAAGTAGAGATTGAAAACTGTTAAAGGATATATTATTATGAAGGACTATAATTCTTCGAAATACATTGCTTTATAGATAAAAATTAACATATTTGGCTTAAATGGTAAAATTTTAATTTAAATTTGCCAAAAGTCAAATTCAGATTAGAAAGTGCTTACAAAATTTACATCCAGTAATTAAAACATACGTTACAGAATATCGTAGCTGCGACTTTAGGTTCTTAAATTTTAAAATATTATTCTCCGTTACCTATACTACAAACTCACGAAGTTTTGTTAATCAGGGAGTTTATTTAGTTGATTTACCATTTTAAAATAGAAACACGAAGTTGCTAACAATTTTCAGTAGCGATTAATATTCAAGGCCACGCTTGGGTATGCTGAATGTCGACAATTTTCAAATATAAATTAGTTAAAAATTTGCATTGCGTCGAGTAGGAACATTTAACGTGTACAAATGTTGAAAAATTATACAAGTCTTTATCTAAATCAGAGCTGGCCAACCATTGCATGACATACGTTAATTTTGTTCACAGACAAGTTCAGATGCGCCATACAACTGAAGCACCTCTTCGACCTTCTTATGTTTACGGTTGTGATAGGAAAATAAGGATAGAAGTAGGATCTACTTCGCTTAGAGGAGGAAAAGGAATAACTCAATCTCGCAATTAAATTAATTAATTTACGTGAATTCAAAAGGCACACATTTATTGAAGCACTTAAAAAGAATAAATCGGCTCAGATATGTAATGCGCTACTTGTAATCATTCAATGTGCCACGTTTGACGCATGCGCCACGGTTTGGCCACCTTTGATCTAAATGCATAGTGGAAGTCATAGATGTCGAAGAAGATTCTAAACATTATTAACAATGTGTAATGTTGTATTTGTACATATTGTGAAAAGAAATATGTATACTTTTCTTGTATGAAACATGTAGTTATGATATATGAAATATATATCTTGATTTTTAAATATGTATGATTTATGTCATGTTTATATTAATATTTATATATTTGTAGAAGGTAAATGTTACATATCACTCAATGTCAGAGTTTCCATGCTAGCACAATCCTAACACGATAAGTTAAAGATATTACGCGTGTGCTATCTTTGTGTCTGTCTCTTGCACTTTCTCATGCTAATGCCACCACGCGACACAAAGGCTACATAGTGAAAGATCCCTCTTACCTCTGCGCTGTTCTGCTAGCCATTAACCTTTTGCACTCCTACGTCGAATATGACTAGACAGTAGATTTATTCGAAAGTGTGACATTTTTTAATTGTATTATGTTGTTATACTATCTTTAATGGTATTGGTAAAAAGAATTGTATACGTTGTTTACTATTAACTAATCGTCTTTCGAAATACACTTTAAGTGAAACACTCAAAGTAATACAGAATTATGGAAAAATAAATGTGAAAGGAACTCGGAGTGCAAAATGTTAAGTCATCTCTCTAATATATGAAACTCATTGATATAAATTAATATAAATTCTAAATAACAATATTAAATTAAAATATTGTTGAATTAAATAAATAAATAATCTGTAATGAAACATTTTCCTGAAGCAAACTGTCGGAGAGACCGAAATGTCACCTACTGAAGTGTACTTTGAATATAACGTTACAAATTCAGCAATCATAAAGTGTTAAGTTTCGACATAAAAAAAATAACAATTACCTCCTTAATAGTCTGATTTTGTTCTAAGAAGTTTCTTTTTAAGTAAAAATAACAAAGGTATTTTGGAGTTCTCATTTAAGGGAGACACCCTGTATATTTTTTATTAGACCGCTTGTTAATATGTTTGAATATAAAGACACCAACCTCTAATTGTAGGACGTATACTTAATTTTATTTGGTTTTTAACACTAAACATACCGGCACTTTATATATTATAGAAGTATAAAGAAAGAATTAAAGAAAAAAGGACTCATTCTATTAAATGTTATCGATAATATCAAGTGGAAATTGGGAGTGCTGCAGTTCCACAGTTCCTATACGCGAACCACCACTGTCCCTATGCATACAATAGCCAATCTCTTTTACTATTTGAATTATATACAAAAATATGTATCGTATTATATGTTTTTCTTCATTCATAGATATTATGTTCATATGTTTACATCGAAATTAGTTTCATTTAGATAATAGAGATTGGTGTTAGTGTGGCTAGTTTTTCGAGGTGAGAGTGCAAAAAGAGCGACAAAGTCCCTCCCCCACCTACATTATTATTTCGCAATTACTAATAGTCCTATTAGGTTCGAAGGATTTTTATATATACAAGGTAATCATTCACAGCTAAGCTTAAACTAGCGATTTTAGAGTTTTTGGCAGATTACATCAACGCTACAATAATTTCGATTCATAATTGGTCCAATCGATAGGAATAAACATCCATATTGTCAATAATTCTGCATCACTAGTTACCGCTGTATTACGTACTGTTAAGTGTTGGGAACCTGGCACTCGTGATGTTATAGAGGCAGGAACGGCCGCTCCGAGAAATCCAAATGTAAGTCTGGAAATGGCAAGGCGTGAGCAAGGCGCGCACCTACAAATCTGACCAATCAGACGAGAGTGTCAAGTCCCAGCACTTGTTGGCACATTGTGCAGTATTCCGGAGCGAGTGCGAATTTGTGAATGATATCCCGGTGTGAGTGGTAAGTTTGCTACGTTGTTTAATATGCATAAATAAGTTTCAGTTACATAATGCGGGTCGGTGTGGGTGAAGCTAGTTTTTCGAGAATGGACGTGCAGGTGGAGAAGCAGAGCCCCATAAATTGGAAAAAATAATGTACAAAAATCTCGGACTATTTTAGTTTTCTAAATTCCTATTTTGTAGAATTATAGAATACCAAACTACCGCAATTGACCTTCAAAAGATTGACGACGTGTACGGCTATAAATACTTTTGTAGTGTTACATGCGTGTTTATGAATATATTAAAAGGTTTTGTTAGTTCGTACTGTTTTTTCGCTTATGCAATGTTTTTCACGTTCCTTTTTCCTTTTTCCACGTCTCTGGCAATTGGTGGATTACCCGTCTAACGGAAAACATCAGTCTCAGAGGAAATAGTATTTATTATACCAAAAGCTATTTATTTGTCGTGTCATCTTCAGATATCACCGAATCCGATGAAATCTGCGCCTTCTGAAGCGTGCCGTATAGATTGGAATAAATGAAAATCACTTAAAGTAAGATCAGAAGAGTAGGCTGGGTGTGACATGTCTTTCCGCTCCAATACTCCATCATTTTCTTTGTTATCCTTGCCACGTGTGATCTTGCATTAGCCTGCAGCAATATCACTTTTTGCATCAATCTTATGTTCAGTCGATAGAATAATTCTCGATGAATTGTTGTGTTTAATATTTAATTTGTTCGCAACAGTTCATAATGCAAATTATCTTCTATATCTCAACATACGCAGAGCATTACCTTTTTTCCGTGAATATTTCTCTTTGGTGGAATGTAGACAGCTATTTGGGATCCACTCATAACTATCTCCATTGACGGTTATGGTAATAAATCCATTTTTATGTAGACGTTTTCATATGGTCGACTTTCTGACACCGAGCGCTTTGAAAATTTTCATTAATGATTTCTTCCAGCTCATCCTCATCAAATGGTTCAAGTTGCCAAGGCCGATTTTTGGGTCTTACTTTGCAGTTCTCATATTTAAACCATTGCATCCATTTCCTACAGATTCTCTGGGATGGAAAAACTTTCACATTTTCTTGTAACACTTGATACACCCCAGATGCACTTTCCTCCATTGTTTACGCTCGTCGTGGATTGCGTAAAAATCTGTCGGGCTATATTGGCGTTTACACAAGAGTATGTTCACTGACTTTTCATACTACTAGTTCGAACCTTTTTT